TCCAGAGGTGGCTGTTGATACATTTGTTTCTTGAATATTTCTGAATAGACTCCAGAATTCTTGTCTTCTGGGTCATTGCCCTTTAAAACATGGAATCTCAGGCATCAAAATGCTCAATCCTTTTCATTTTTGCTTTTGTATACTCGAGTGTTTGAGGACCCTCTGTGTGTGTGCACAAGTGTGCAGATGTGTGCACATGTGTTTGGCTGGTGATGTGGATGCCAGAAGCTCACACAAGGCATACTCCTCAGTCTGTCTTTGTGTTACTTACTGAAGCAGTATAGTAAGGAGGGTGGCCCCTTGTTCTGTCCCGCCTGGCTAGCTTACACCCAAAATAACCACACAAAAATTGTATTAATTAAATTACTGCCTGGCCCTTTATGTCTAGCCTCTTACTGGTTAACTCTCACATCTTGTTTTAACCCATTTCTATCAATCTGTATCACCACTTGACTGTGGCTTACTAGCATGAGTCTAACCAGCGTCCAACTCAGGCAGGAGAACCACAGAGTCTCGACTCTGCCCCTCTTCCTCCCAGCAATCCGTTCTGTATCCCCGCCTACCTAAGCTGCTGCCCTATCAAAAGACCAAGGCAGTTTCTTTATTCAACCAATGAAAGCAACACATAGACAGAAGAACCTCCTACACCAAAGCATAATCTCTTAATGTACCTGGAACTGACTGATTTGGCCAGTCTTGCTAATCAGCTTTCCCTGGGGATTCCTTATCTGGTACTTTTAAGGCTGGAAGTTCAGGCTAGTAACTATGTCTAACCAGCTTTCATTGAGTATCTACAATCTAAACTCGGGTCCTCCTCTTTGCAAGGCAAGTGCTTCAGCCACCAGCCATCTTGCCAGTATCTATAACTCTCATGCTTTGCCAAAGGCTTTACGTAAGGGCTTTGACTTAAGTGGAAAGTCCTTATGAGATAATATTCTGAAGGATTTTAAATGATTGTCAGTTTATGACCCCTTTTACATCATGTTCTAAAATGAGAATAAAAACTCCAGACGTACATACTTTAAAGCCAAGATCAAAACAGAAGGCAATGAACGTTGTTGTTTTCAGTAACCTAGGGACACATCAATGGACGCCGCTCTTTAGTAAGTAATTAAATCTTCAGAGGCCAAAAGTTTCTCTTGTTTACTTCTCAAAATTTAGTTATGTATGCAGACATTTTAAAAGGTTACTGAAAATAGAAACAGATGTTTAAACAGCAACAACCCCCAATTCTTAGTGCATTATTGTCTGTGACAAGCTGTAGCCAGTGGATCAACCCAAGGTTTTGCACAAAGGACTATCAGTGACTATCTGTGGATAGAACTAACTTAATGAATGCATGATGTCTGGCTGTTTTCCTGGTCCTCATAAAATCTTACCAAAGCTGCATTACTTACCAAGCTTGGTTATTTGCTATTTTCTTCATCGTTAAGCAGACTAAATGTACGTGACTTGGAAAAGGAACAGGACTCTTAGAAAGAGTGAGCATGTTAATAGAAGACTTGACAGTTTAACAATAGAGGAGGAAAAAAGGAAAAGTGGAATAGACCACACACACACAACACATGCACACAGAGAAAGAGAGAGAGAGAGAGAGAGAGAGAGAGAGAGAGAGAGAGAGAGAGAGAGACTCTTACTTCTACCTCAATAGCCCATGGAGTGTTAATTCAACAGAAAACTTGAAGTACTTTGCTTCAGGATTTTCTCTGTAACTAACTCATGGCTTGCATAGGCTGCCCCAAGAAGTCCTTTTCTTTCAAAATTTAGTTAAGTTTTTAACACTAAAGGGGACAGTTCTAGAGGAAGTTGCCATTTATTACAAAAAGCTTTTTTTCCCCCACAAAAGGGAGCTATTGAGCTATTGAGTTTCCTTTGAATATTTCAGAGGGCTACTGGGTATGTAGATAGCTAGGAGCTGTGAAATTCCATTGCCTGGAAAGCTATTTTTCCTATGAAAAGCTATGTAGTATATCTCCCGGCACGTCTGGCGAATTTGCAATCAATAGGAATGTAAGCAGTTTTCTTGCTTATCTTCATGTTTATAATCTCTGTTAAGGTAAAGCTGTAACAAACTATTTGCCCTGATAACCCTCTTATCACTGATGCTTTCTAAAATTAGGGTGAACCTCTCTCTCTCCAGGTTCCATCATCCACCATCTACCATCCACTCTTACATTTTTTCCTTTCATAAGCAAACAAGTAAAAATAACACTGATACACACACACACACACATACACACATATATATATATGTGTGTGCATGTGTGTGTGTGTGTGTGTGTGTGTGTGTGTGTATCATGGATTGAAGGATGGATGCATAGATAGATAGATAGATAGATAGATAGATAGATAGATAGATTGACAGATGATAGACAGAAAACAGCTATGCTTGGGCTTGGGACTGAGAGATGGCTGCTCTTTCAGAAGACCCTAGTTCAATTCCCAGCAGCCACATGACAGCTTACAACTGTCTGTAGCCCAAATTCCAGGGAATCTGCCACTTTCACATAGACATACATGCAAACAAAACACCAATGCATATAAAAGAGGGAATCATCAAAAACATAGATCTCAATTTAGACACATGGATTTAAAATGCTAATGGTGAATAGAGAATAACTTGAAGAATGCAAAAGATAAGAAAGGTCTTATTTTGATGATAAATTCAGTCTAAATCCTAGTTTAGTTGTAACAACTATTTATTAATTATAAACAAAATTATAATTAGCCAATTCATTGGCTAGCTGTTGGCCATTTGTGAAGCCTGTCTATCAACTAAGATATAAATTTGATTGTAGTATTAGTTTTCATGGGCAAATCATTAGTAAATGGGTGAATAACTCTTACTTATATCTTAGGAGGTCATAATGGAATTTTTTGTATGAAATCATGAGGCTTCTTAGAGAATTAATCATAATTAGTAAAGTTGAATGACATTGATAATGAACATACAGATTAAATTGGAAAGTCAAAAGTGGAAAGGATGATAACCATACTACATAGGGTATACTTTTCCATGGGTAACTGATGTTCTTGTGAAAGAACTTTAAATATTTTAAACTTGGAGAAAAATATAGCAAGAATGCATATGGCATCTTCAGTAATGAGGTCTTAGCATCAAGTTTTGTAGGGACTCAAGAGCAATGATAATAATCTGTGATATTTAGCTGTGTCTATAAAACCCCAGTGGTCAACAACTTAAAAAAACAGATGGCTTGTACTTGGCTCTGGGCTTTTCATTTGATTGCTTATGGTATCTAGAAAAGTAATCTTCCTGTTATAGGGCAATTCCCTTTAACCCCCTTTTATATATGCATGCATTTTAGGAAGCTTTTGCAGTAGTAGACTTCCATATGATTCTTCCAAAGATATTTTGTGTAATATTTCTGTGTCTGTCTTAGTGAGAGTTACTGTTGCTGTGATGAACCACCATGACCAAAAACAAGTTGGGGAGGAAAGGGTTTATTTGGTTCATACTTCCACTTTCCTGTTTATTAATGGAAGAAGTCAGGACAGGAGTTCAAGTAGAACAGGAGTCTAGAGACTGGAGCTGATGCAGAGGTCATGCAGGGGTTCTGCTTACTGGCTTTCTCCTTCTGATTTGTTCAGCCTGCTTTCTTTTAAAATCCAGGACTACCAGGCCAGGGATGGCATCAACCTCGAAATGCTGAAACCTCTGATATCAATTACTAATTAAGAAAATGCCCTACAGACTAGCCTATTGCCCAATCTTATAGAAGAGTTTTCTCAATTGAGGTTCACTCCTCTTAGATAACTCTATCTTCTGCCATGTTGACAACACCCATAATCTCTCCTCTTTGGTACCATCCCATCTGATGGCCACTGGGAGAGAAAGAGTCAGTGTTTTACAGAGATGTGGTCCCTGAGAAGCCACCCATGCTCTATTAGATGGTCTACATTAATGAACATACAGACAACACTGAGTTTACTCAATGTATTCAAAGAGAAGGGAGAATATGTGTAATTCAAAATTAATAGTAGTAGGGGAGATAAGAGAGTGAATGGTAAATGGATTTGATTAAAACACATGATATACTCATATGAAATTCTTAAACAATAAAAAATATGTAAGGAAGTATATTAATTGATCAGGAAGAATCACTACTGTGATCTCTAAGCATGAGGCTAAAGAATACACATATTGTGTGATTGTCCTTGTGTGTGCTATAAATAATAATAATAGGCTGGGCAAGATGGAACACACATTTAATTCCAAAACTCTGGAGGCAGAGGCAGGTGGAGCTCTGTGAGATAAAGGCCAACCGGTTCTTCACAGTGAGTCTCAGGTTAGTCATAGAGATACCATGTTTCAAAGTAATAAATAATAATGAAAGTAATGAAAAAATTTAAAAATCATGAAGAAGAAATTAGTAAAATATTATCATTACCGTCAATGGAATAAAATTCAGTTATTAAAACAATGCCATATGTAAATGTTTATTAATAATAAACTTAATAAATATGTAGTCAAGAACAACATTTCAAAAATGTTGCTGATAAATGTCTATAATCTCAGAACTTAGAAGTCAGAGGTAGGAGGACCATAGATTTGAATCTAGCCTGTGCTGCATAGTGAGATTCTGTCTCAAAAGCAAGCAAACAAACAGCAACAACACAGAAATAGAAAAGCCTATCTATTAGCTACTAGATTAATCCATGTCTATAGAATGAAATATATACATTTACCCTGAATTAATTCATGTGTATAAAATGGAGCTATGTGCATTTACCCTGAATTAGTTCACTTCTATAGAATGGAGATTAGCACATTTATCATGTGAAGAGAAATTAAGCTTTTAATCATACCTAACCTTGGGTATTTAGTAATGGATATTTTTAATGTTTTTCTTCAAAACTTTTGGAATTTTCTGAATTCTACTTTGCAGTAATAGTGGCATTAATGAAGTATTTATGACTTAAGAAGTAATTTAAATGCACTTCTTTTTTTTTTTTTTTTTTTTTTTTTGGTTTTTCGAGACAGGGTTTCTCGGCCTTTTGGCTAAGATCAAGTGTAGTATCTGTTCTTATCAGTTTAAATGCACTTCTTATTATTACAATACCCCCCATTTCACACCTTTGCAGGCTGTTGTTTAAAAAGGAGGATAATTCATCCAAAGGACTGATTGATTTACATTTAAATAGTTTCTATGTGCTGTACAAACATTCTTGACTCTTATTCTACCCTACAATTAATAGATAACACTTTGGGTCTAAATCATACCATACAATTAATTCATGATGGTAATAGACTTTAAATGCTTGCTTTAAAGGAAACATAAACATTGAGCATGTTTGACAGTGTAGAACTAAGCCACACGTCAACTCTTTCATTATCAGAATGCCCAGGCATGCTTTGGTTTTGGTTGCCCCATCTGTCATTTCCGATAGCATGCCTTTCAATAGACACTTACATAAGATATTTTGTCATGGGTTTTCATTTCGAGGTCATTTTTGTAATAGTTACTTCAAATATAAGATCTTTCTGGCAATTTTAGGAGGTAGGGGATGCATTTTAGTGGTGGTAAGGTTGTTTAATTGGAGAGGAATTCCTGAGTTTCCAAGAGTTTTAATCACAGTTCAGCTTCCAAGCTGGGCTTCTCAAATGCGTTAGTTGCTTAAAAAGATACAGCATTGCTCCTCTGAGACCCCAGGACTCTGAGGACTGCCTTCTGGTGATCATTGCATTTACTGTGACTGCCAAAAGAGCATAGCTTTTTGTCTGGGTGTTTGCCTTTGTCTTATTGTAAACTCATCTCACCTCAGAATGTAAACAGTTTTAGAATTCTGTGTTTTTTTTAGGTTTACAAAGTCCACCATGTGCTGATAATGGATGTAGAGTTTTTCTCACATCTTATACTTTCCTAAAGCCATCCTTAAAATGGATACAAGGAGGTGATGTTGCTCATAGATAGATTGTGAGCCTAGTATGCAAGTGTCTCTGGTTTTGGCCCTAGCATGAGAGACCGAAAGGGAGGAAAGGAGCTGGGGAGTAAGAAAGGAAGTAAGAGAGTCAGGGAAGGAGGAAAATGCATATGGCTTCTGCATGCTGATAAAACCCCCTTCATTAGAAACTGGGGAACAATATGAAATTGATCACTTCTTTATTATTATTATTATTATTTTATTATTATTATTTATTTATTAAAGATTTCTGTCTCCTCCCTGCCACTCCCTCCCATTTCCCTCCCCCTCCCCCAATCAACTCCCCCTCCCTCATCAGCCCGAAGAGCAGTCCCGGTTCCCTGACCTCCCACCTCCATCCAGGTCTAGTAAGGTGAACATCCAAACAGCCTAGGCTCCCACAAAGCCAGTACATGCAGTAGGATCAAAACCCAGTGTCATTTTTCTTGACTTCTCAGCAGCCCTCACTGTCTGCTATGTTCATCGAGTCCAGTTTTATCCCATGCTTTTTCAGACCCAGTCCAGCTGACCTTGGTGAGTTCCCGATAGAACATCCCCATTGTCTCAGTGTGTGGGTGGACCCATCATGGTCCTGAGTTCCTTGCTCGTGCTCTCTCTCCTTCTGCTACTGATTTGGACCTTGGGGTTTCAGTCCGGTGTCCTTCAATGGAAGAATGGATGAAGAAAGGATGGAATATATACACATTAGAGTACTACTCAGCAGTACAAAACAATGATTTCTTGAAGTTTGCAAGCAAATGGACGGAAATAGAAAACACTATCCCGAGTGAGGTCAGGCAGACCCCAAAAGAGGAACTTGGGATGTACTCACTCATATTTGGTTTCTAGCCATAAATAAAGGACATTGAGCCTAAAATTCGTGATCCTAGAGAAGCTAAATAAGAAGGTGAACCCAAAGAAAAACATATAGTCATCCTCCTGGATATTAACCTTCATCAGGCAATGAAAGGAGACAGAGACAGAGTCCCACATTGGAAATTGGTCACTTCTTACAAGGGCATTTTGAGTGTACATTTTTTTTTGTTTGTTTAGTTTAGTTTTTTTTTGTCTTCAGAGATGTAGTTTTTATTTGCTTAGATAAGGTGATATTAATACACTTGAAATCTATGACAAGACCACAAGTTTGAAAGAAGGGTGGAGAGAGGTGGGGAAAGAGGTGAAAAGACAGGCAAGGCAGGAAAGGTGGGCAGCGTGTGGCAGGGCAGAAAGAAGTGAAAAGACAGGCAAGGCAGGAAAGGTGGGCAGCGTGTGGCATGGCAGAAAGAAGGGTCTGGCTTATGTTTCATGGGTGGTTTAGAAGCAAAGTGAAGGCCTCATATTTAGCCTAGAATCTAAGGCTTTTAAACAAACAAAGCAGAATGTTTCCCTCAGGAATGATGATGATCGTGTTAATAGGTTTTGGGTTTGCCTTTCTTCTGTGGAGTTAAGGAAGTGAACGCTGAGGTCTTTGATTCATGAAAAGGTTAATTAAGAAAGAAATCAAAACACACACACACACACACACACACACACACACAGAGAGAGAGAGAGAGAGAGAGAGAGAGAGAGAGAGAGAGAGAGAGAAGCTGGTAGGGGAGTATAACTTCAATGTATCTTGAAAGAGAAAGACTGTATGATATCTAATATTCATAGTTAATTGAACTAGCTTTTATTCCTATATAACTTTATACAGATTGTTTGACTTTATATTCTCAAACATGTAGAGATTTTGAATTAGCTCCATGATTTCTTTTCATGTGTTCTTATCCTCTTAAAATGTGCAAACCTTAGTAAAATGTTATAGGTTGAAGGACTGAATAAATGCACATCTCAGTTCACTAACAGTTAAAGAGATGCATGGACTGTTCCTCAGGAGATGATGAGAAAGCCAACCAGCAGAGTGGGCTGAAGAAAAATTAGTTAGACATTAGGTAGTTAAAAATAAGCCAAGAACACTGACATAGAATTAGATGAGGACCCCTATCAAATTGTTAGCTATAGAACCATATATTAGAGGTTCTTGATTTGAAACTTGGACCTGTGGTGTTCTTTAATTCTGCTTAATTTTCAGATATACAAAAGAGACTGGGTAATCATTATGTGTAGTCAATATCAGAGCTTGGATTAAATTATCTGAGCATGGAAGGAAAATTACTCCAGGATGAATGAATAGCTTTGGAAAATAAGGCTTACTTATGGATTAGAATATCTAATTCTTTATAGGATAAATCAAACAGGATATCTAATTCTCTACAGGATAAGGACAGTAGGGCAAATATTTTTCTGATATCTAGTATTCACAAATAATTATTTAGCTTTTGTTCCTGAATCAATATATAACTTTATAGAAATGGTTTGACTTTATATTCTCAAACACAAATTTATGGGAAACATGTCACAGAAATGGAATGATTTTAAGAAACTATTGACCTATGGACACTTGGTGTTATGAAAATTTCATTAAAACACAAGGGAACTCCATTTTGAAAAACTTAAAACCGTGATTAGAGGAAAATTCTGTGAATCAGGCCTGGTGCTTGTGTCTTCAGTATAACAGAATGGTTTTCATGCATTTCTAAGAATAAATTGTAAACAGATATCCCACAGAGACGTGTCAACACATCACCAACTTCTTGAAAGCAAGGGTTTGAAATGTGAGCTGGGAGAAAGTTTCAGACCCATGTGTTAGGATGTCCCAGCTATAAGCATGAATCTCAAATACTGATATGGATAAACCCAAAATCTGGAGAAATTGGTGAAGGCACAGTTCCAAGAACCATTCCCTGGGATCACATTCAGCTATTTCAGTGTTCTTCTGACTCCTCAGAAATGATGTGATATGCAGAAAAGTTAGGTATATAATAGGAAAGGGTGGTAATTGTTAGGCTGATTGGATTTTCAGAGTGGAAGCTACATCTTTCTTAATACTCTTTGTCTTCTTGATATCTTTCTTTGCTGCCACCTCTCCTCGATTGATGCAATACCAGAGACTAGCACAGTCATTACCAGGGAAAGTCATTTCCTCACCCCAGTATGCTGGAGAGCATCACTGTCTCCATTACCTCCATGTGCTTTGCCCTCATGTGTACTTTCTCATCTCTTTGCGATCTGAGACAGAGTCATCAGTGTGCCAAACTAAGGGTGATCACAGATCAAAGGCACCTAGGGGAGAAAGGAGGCCAGGGACAAGGAGAATCCATTCCACGAGTACAGAATAATCACTTCTCAAGGCTCTTTCTGACCAACCCAGTTAATATCATTTGCATCTTGCCTGACTTCTATTCGTGGAACTTGGTCGACATAAAAATTTCTCATGTTTATTGTTTTAGTTATTCCGAATAAAACCATGGGTATGGATAGGATTTTTGTCTAGAATACAATCTATATGAAAGTGAACTAATAATTTGGTCACTCAGCTTTTCAACCATCAGCTGAGGGATATATATGTAAGCTAGCAATTTTGTTACTTACCTCTTCCTTTCCTTTTGTCACTTAGAAGAGTAGAAATATTATTTAAAAAAAAAACAAAAACACTCCTAAGGGTTTGAAATGGGAAAGTTGGGAGATTCTAATTTAGATACAGTATGAAAATTATTGGTAATGTGAAGCAGACAGAATTTGCCACTGTCAGCCTTGGAAAGAGCCATGGCTGAGAAAGTCTGTTTTCTAACCCGAGGGACACCAGGGTCTCAGGAAGACTTTCCAGATTCAAAAAATCACAGTAAAATATTATGGCGATTTCCAAAAGCACGAGATCATTTCCATATTGGAAGAAATCAAAGCTGTCATGAGAGGACAGTCCTTGTAGCCTCTGAGAATGACGAGGAAAAGGGCCTCTGTGCTATGCACACCAAGGTCTCCAGCTGGGCAGTACCAGATGCGCTCACATTTGCCCATTCTTTCGCTGTGAGTGAAATATAGCATGTGGTTGAAGCTGTGGCTGTGAGGTAACAGTAATGGGGCAGCTGTGCAAACGAAGTTAGACGTGGTCAAGGGTGAAATTTTGGAAAATCTTCTTGATGTGAAGGATTTGAAACATTTTTAGGACCATGAAAGCCATCACTGATATTATGTATAGTATACATATTCTTCAGAGTTTTGTCACTCACGTAGAGTTTTTAATTGACAAATATTTCTTTAACACTCATAGGTACTGGAAACCAAGCAGGAAAAAAAATCTTACTTTTTTTAAGACAAAGGATTCTTCCTTGACAATACAAGTGGTCATTTTAGACAGGATATGCTATTTAAACATATTTAGAGAA